TGGCCGCAGTCTGGTCACAGACTGCAGAGATGATGTGCAGAGCCAGCGTTCCCGGTGGCACGACAGGCGGTGTACCGGATCCCATCTAGCAGGCGCTTTCATAGCAAGAAACGCGGCGTGCACAGGCAGTTAAATATCCCGGTGGTTGAGTCAGAGGGAAGGGGAACGTGGAGGGCGAAGGCCTCACAAAGTCGTTATTATTGTGATTAATACAAAACTTATAAGCATTATCTTCCATCTTTAATGGCTGATTCTGTAGATCTGAGTCCTAAGCAGCTCAGTAAGCTTTGCGGGTGAACCGCAAACGTTCTGAATGCCAGAATGGGTGAACGTGTTTCCATTACTTCTCTAACACTTACTGTTGGACATTATTAATTTCCAGCTTTGTTAAGGAATGAACTGTAAAGCTAAAGTCGTTTGTTGGTGTCCAGCTCTATATGTGGAGCCTTGTCTGCTGTCTCAAAGCTCTGAGCATCACTTTGAAGGACTCAGCATCTCGTCAGGGGGTGTGAACATGGAGAAACTGCTGAACAACTTCTGGTTTTTTTCTTTTTTCCCAGTGACTATCACAAGAAACAGAATGCCCTCAGAGCACTTCAAAAGAAAGCTCTGGACAAGAATCCTGATGAGTTCTACTTTAAAATGATACGTGCAGAGCTCCAGGTGAGAATCTAAATTGCTTTCAAGCAGGGTTACATCTGTTGCTCTAAGTAACATCATTTTTTTTCCTACTTTGTTTTGGTTTTAATGTATGAATTAGTAAATAAATTAGCAGACTTGGTTTGGTGCCTGTGGAAGGCTTTGAAGAAAATGAGGGGCAAAGGACAAAAAGGTTCTTTTGCTTTTATTATTAGGACCCATAGTACACTATAGCTAGAATGGTATCTATCTGTAAGTGCTATGTTCCGTCTGGTTTTAGGATGGAGTTCATATAATAAAGCAGCCAAAGGATGAAGTGACCCCTGAACAGATGAAATTGATGAGGACACAGGATATTAAATATGTGGAAATGAAAAGAGTGGCAGAAGCCAAGGTAATACTTCACTTCTTTAGTGTTTTCCAGTTTGCTCAGAATTGTTCTTTTTATTGAGTTTTTCTTGTTGTTGTTGGCTATTGTGTTTATGTTTACTGAAATCTGATTTGTGTAATACTGGAAATGATAGATGGAAATGTCAGTGGAGCTCTGCATGTAGAACCTAAAGGTATACTGAATAATAAAAAATATACTATGTCTTATTATAAAACATGGCAATTTCTTACGTAAATTTCAGACATTAAACAGGTACTCTTGCTTCTCATCTTTATAAAGAATTGAGGATTATTGTTACTGAAGTGGGTTGTTTGAATACGGTAGGCAGGCAATCAACAAAAATATGACCCACTTCTGAAAATGTTTTATGCTCTGATGTTGATTCACACACCATCACTGCAGATAAAAAAATAAAAGAAAGTCAGCTTTGAATTTTCCTTCATACTTTTGCTAGTGATTTCATGGTAATCATTCCTACTTTGTCTGCCATACAGATAACTTACTGTTTTGAAAATTGATTTGTACGTATTTGGTTGGGTAATACCAGAAATTACTGTTAACCTCTACGAGGTTATGTTATGAAAGAAAATGTTATGAAGACGTCACATAAATATAGACTAGATGTATTTTCAAAGATTAAAAATGAAGGAAGAGTTCAGATGCTTGTATGCTTGAGAAACAAACAGGAATTTACTTCAGGGAGGCATTACATACCGTGTTATGGATGGTTGGCAAAACAGAGATGAACCTACCTTTCCTGCAGAAAATCGAAAGGCTGAAGTCGGAGCTCCATCTGCTGGATGCGGAGGGGAAGAATCCCAACAAGCACGTGTTCTTTTTTGATACCAAAAAAGAAGGTAAGATTTAAATAGGTTTTATCAGAAAACTTGTTCTGTGATGTTTTATTGTAGGCTGTTTAAAATAGTATGGTGCTTTCTTTATGCTGTTACCATAAAAGAAGGTGGGGTTTTTTTCAGGAATAATAATTCAGGTGCTCTAGAAGTCTCTTTTGATTACTAGATAAGACCTCAGTTCTGCAGGAGCTATGTTGCTAGGGCTTCCATCGCTGACTGTACTTAAGCTACATGTTTGGAAGGTTTGCTGAGCATTAGTCCAAGAAGTCCATGTGAGTTTATTCCTTTTATTCCTAAATTTCTTTTTATTTGTAGTTCAGGAGTTTGATATTGCAACTCATCTGGATACTGTTCCAGAGCTCGTAGATAGAGTGTACAACCGACCGACCATTGCAACATTGCAGAAAGAGACTCTGAAAGGGGCTACTGATCCTGCCCACTTAAAGGTAGTTTGTACTGCCACTATTTGTATTGTAGTTTTCTTAATGTTTTACATCTTTAGTACAAGCACTAAAGAGGATTCGTTGGATCGTTGTGGAGGGGAACAAAGTTGTTCTGTTGCCTTAGAACTTATTGGTGACACAAGGCTGTAGCGGATGTCATTTAGTCATCAAGCGCCTGGAGCCTACAGTCAAATCTTCTCCCGGACCGACATGGAGAACTTGTTCGGTTGTATCCCAGTCCATCGTGGATTATAAATCAAGAGTTGTGACGTATGGGCCAGAAAGGAATGGTGTGGATGTGATTAGGCAGTTTCCTTGGCAAAATTGATACATTTCTCTTCTGTTAGATGACATACACCTATGGGACTATCTTTTCATTAGATTGCTGCAGTTTTAAGTGTGATTTTTGCAGCATCCACTGTTAAGTCTCCCCTCACACCTCCCCAAAAACCCTTGCACCCCTGAATAGGGATGTGAAGAAGGTTATTCCAGCATAGATGTATCTATTGTTGGGTTTCTGATCTTATGGTATTTTTCAGTTAGGTTCTGAGCCTCAAGTGGCTGAAGATTCAGGATTTGTCTCCCCCTTTTTCTTCTTAAAGACATTTAAGCTATAGTCTCACTTCCTGGCTTTCCTAATTTACAGTGTTTTATGATCCTTCAGGATGAATTGCTTATGCAATCAATTTTGATTTGATGTTTTACTATCACAGCTCTTTGGTCCTAGAAGTAGCTACACTCGTCTTTAACACTGTGAAGACCATTTAATTAGTTTAGATATATTGGGCAGTCCTATAGGCTTGAGTTGGTATGTATAAGGTAAAAATAAAGTTGTCTAAAATTGCCGATTGGTAAATTTGTAACCTGTTGCTTTCTGAATCAGACATCAGATAACAAACACCCTGTGGTCCCTTTCTTCTTGCCAGCTTTCTCAGTTTGGCTTGTCAGTAAAGCAGTTGGACAAGTTGTAGACTGACAAGTTTTCTCCTCTAAATGTCTGAGTCATATTTCAAGCATGTTGGGATCTGTTCTCCTTCATTTAATTACTTAAATCACACCTGCAGTAATACCATTTTTGTGCTGGGAAAGCCATCAGCTCTTAGTAGGTAAACGTGACCAAACAAGTTGGATTTTGGGAGGCCTCTGTGCAATTTCTAAGCACTTCAGGAACTGGTCTGTGGTCTTCCTCCCCCCCGATAAACTGGGTTTTTGTTAGGGAGTTAAATGTTATCTTGCACTCAACATTGAAATTCAAAGGATTTAGAAAAATGAAATTCCAGCCACTTACACAGCATCTAAACTAGGTTAGAAGAGGTTTGGTTTTTTTATGTTTGGATTTAGGAGATTAAAACAAGCACAAAGAATTAAGTCCTAACTAGAAAACCTCTAGTATGAGAATCAAGGTGTTAAAACAGTTCTCTGGAATCTAGCCACAGACTTGAAGCAGCATTCTTTAATATGATTACGATTTTAAAATAAATGTAAAAAATGTTTGTGAGGTCCAAGTGCCTCAGAATAGGTCAGTTATAGACCATAGTGTCTTGTTCCTCTCTCTATCTTAAAAATGCTTCTTTTTTTTCCTCCAGAAATTAGCCCAGCAAAGGAAGAATCAGTATGACCTCCTGAAGCAGCGCATTGAAAGGGAAAAGGCCATGTTTGTTATTGCACAGAAAATCCAGACACGTAAAGATCTTTTGGTGAGGGATTTAGTTTTGGTTCTTTGAATCTGTTTGGTTAAGATCGTTAGGTCTAGTTTTGTATGTATATGTTTCTTCACTCTGATTTTATACTGACACTTCCAGATAACTTGTAAAAATAAATAATCCTCTTTTAGTACAGAAAAAGCAAGGAGATGAAGCATTCCAGTTGTGCTATGGCTAGTAAATTATATCTGCTAGTCCAAGTCTTATCAGGTCAGCAAGGACAAAGACTCAACTTTGAAATGGTGCTCACAAGTCTTTTCTAAAATACTGTTGCCATCTCTCAATTACTAAATCAATACTTTCAAGTAGCAGAGGCAAGGAACCATTTCTGTAGGTTACGAGAAGATCTTGAAAATCCAAATGACCAAAAAAATTACTTGTCTCAATGGGACTCGCCGTTCACTGGTGCTTGTGAACAAAACAGATTGTGCCTGACAACCTAAAGGCGGGAAGAGAGGATGGAAATACAATTCCCACCTTAACAGTGGAAAGCGACCATTTTTCACTAATGCCTTGTTAGTCCCAGACAGGGACTTTCTTATTTATATGAGGGTGGGTTGTCTTTTCTTTTTTTTTTTTTGCTTCTTCTTACATGCCAGCAAATATTTTTTTCTTGTTCTTTTTTCCAGGACAAAACTCATAAAGTAAAGGTGAAGAAAGAGACAACAAATGGTCCAGCTATTTACAAATTCAAATTTCAGCGGAAACGTTAGCCATTCCATTAAATAATCGTTACCATCTTTGCTTAGAAAGAGAGAGGATTCTCCTTATGAAGAAGGACTGGTACACACTGTATCAGTTTGTTTTTCACTGCAGCCTAACACTTTGTTAAAACAAATTACTCTGGGCCTGTGGTAGCCATAAATATATTGTATCTAATTAATTGTTTAATAAATCGGAGAGTTTGTTCTCTTGGTATTTACAGTGGGAAGCCACAAGAGGTGCCTGAATGTCCTAGTAACACACACGATAATCAATCCTTGAAAAGTCAAGGTCAAAATTAAGAGGCTGGGAGAGGGGTTGCACACAGCACATGGACAGAAGAACTCTGGGATTGTTACCTTCAGCTCTGTGGCCAGTGACCATGACACATCCAAAACCATGACTGATTTCAGGTTAGCTTTTTTAGCTATCTTTTCAAGCCAGGATAAAGTTGAGTTACTGTCTTTCTAATAGCCCCACCACCCCCAAATCCCTCTAATTTTCCCATTCTGCTTTATCTGCACAAAATATTTCACTTAAAATGCAAGAGGCGCATTGCTAAATTCTGGCACTGTATTAGCCAAAGACTATTCTGGTATGGTGCTAGAAGCGGGGAATTCTTCCACTGTGCAGAAAGGAAGAAAAACTCGACCTTTATGAGTAATTTCCATAGCTGAGGAGCTGTTTGTGCTTATTCTGTCTTCTGCTGTACAATAGGGTAGTGCCCATGCCACGCCGAATTTCCAGTGTTGCCTACTAAGTTCGAACAGAGGCAATAATGAAATTCACAGTATTCACAGAAACAATACAGAAGCCAACTGTGGGACAAAACTTTGTCCTCTTTGTTTACATTATGCTTGTTGCAATGCTGGTAGTGGAAGGGGGTTTCAGCTGAGAACAATAAAGACACATCCTTGAGTGTCCTGGAGCAGTTCAGGCAAGTTAAGAGAGCCTGGGCGTAAACATTCCTTCTCTTATCTCCCTCACTTGTACCATGTCTGCCAATAATAAGCACATGCCCATGCAAGATGGTAAAAAAAACCCTGATGCTCTTCCCACTTCGGGAGTTATCCTAGCTTCTCATAGACAAAAACGCAACTTTTTTACATGCTGAAATGCAGCAGCTTCAGACATTGTTTCTGCCATTGCAAAGATTCCCAAGTTGCCAACAATTATGGGGTGAATTTTTTTTCTGGGAAGAATTAAGGGAGGCACCGTGCTTTGCTCTTAAAAGCAGTTGAGATACTCTCATGCGGAAGGTGAAGTCTGGGATTTCGCTGTTAACGGCACGCTATAAACCGTCTAGCACCAGGCGACGAGGAGGGAAACTTAACCACACTGCGCGGGAGCAAGCTGCTCCTTTTGCTTCCTCACAGGAAAACACACGCACGGCTGAAAGCGGCAACGCTTTTTCCCGTGAGAGCTACTTCCCCGCCGCCGGAGAAAGGGCGAGAAGCGGCGCCGAGACCCCCGGTCCTCCGGGAGGCCGCTGGCCGGCCGCGGCCG